AAATGATGAAGATGCTCTAAGCTATTTCTTAGAAGGTTTAAGTTCATTTTCTCGCAATGAGATTTTGAAGTTTAAGCTGAAGACATATCTAAAATGTAAAGGGGTAGCATAACAAATTCCCTTCAATCATTCACTCATGGAACAGTATCAGCACATATATGTTGGTACCTTGAATAAGAATAAGAACTCTGGGAATAAATAAGATGATCGAAAATAAAGGATAGAAAGAAGGTTCCACCTTGAAGCTCACAAGTGACAGTTAATAAGGGGTGGTTTGGGATCACTAACAACTTCTTTTGGTCCTAGGCTCTGTAATCCTCCTCTTGGTTATAAGCAATAGCAACCTACAAAACCTACTCCTAGTAGAATAAGTAGTTATTACTTTTATTGTAGAGAGGTAGGACATATGTCCTTGAATTGTCCTAAAAAGCATAAGGCAAGATCTTGTGTTTATATCATGAGGGAAGATGGCGGTGGTGAAATTGAAAGTGTGGATGAGTTAGTTAATGCAGACTATAAAGAAAAGGAGGTGAATTACTTTGCTCAAGCTTTTCTCGGAGTCAATGCAAACATTAGTCTATTGATGTATCTTGTAGGCTTTATCCGCAAACACTGAATCCAAGTGATGATTGATACAGGAGCTATGCACAGTGTGATATCCAAAGATTTAGATAAGTTGTTAGGATTAAAAGCTGAGCAGATGTCACTTATATATTTCCGGTTTGTAGAAGGTGGGCAAATAGCCAGAAAATTTATGAGTGATATTCTAATAAAAATATCTAAATGAAAAGAAATATTGGACTTAGTAGTGTTGAAGATACCAAACTTTCAAATGGTGTAAGGTACGGATTTCTTCAACAAATATATTAAAGGGATTTATAGTGTTGGATAAAGTCACATCACATTGAGGTCAGAAAAATGTCCTAATGTGTCCTTCCAATTGCAAAAACACTCCTTAAGGGATTGAGATGTTAAGTTCATGATTGTGAAAGCCACTCAAAAAGTAGTTAAGAAGAGATGTTGGAATTTTTGGATTCAAGTGATGGAAGTTAAGGGTGATAGTGATCCAGTTCGAATCGGTGATGGGGTTGATCCTTAGAATTGTTGGCAAGGAATCAGGATATCTTTCCGAAAAATTTGCCACCAAGGCTATCCCCGTTGATCATCAAATTAAGATTGTTCCAAATTCTAAACCACCTACAAAAGTTTCATATTGTTTAAACATCAAGGAGATGGCTAAACTCAAGAAGCAATTCATAGAGTTCCTTAATAAAGGTTATATTTGACTAAATAAGTCACCTTATAGGGTGTTAAGTCCTCTTTGTTATGAAAAAGGATGGTACAATGAGGATATGTATCGATTATTGAGCTCTGAATAAGATTATGGTAAGAAATAATTATCATTTGCTTCATATTGATGACTTGTTTGACTAACTCTTAAAGGCTAAGTATTTTACGTGACTTGATTTGCAGTCTGGTTATCATCAGATACAGGTGGCAAATCAAGATGCAAAGAAAACAACCTTCGAGACTTGGTATGCATTTTATAAGTTCCTTGTTATGCTGTTTGGGTTATGTAATGCCCTATCTACATTCAATATAATAATGGATAGAATATTTAGAGATTACTTAGATACATTTGTTGTCTTGTATATTAACAATGTTTTAGCCTTTAATGAAATGTTAGAGGATCATTTGAAACACTTGGAATTGGTGTTTCAGAAGTTGCATAAACACAACCTATATGCTAAAGAAAATAAATGCGCTTTTGGACAATTGTGTTTAAACTTTTCTAGGTATATACTTGGTGGTAGTGTTATTGAGGTGGATCCAAAGAAAGTTAAAGTAGTGAAGTCTTAGGAAGTCCCAACCACTATATCAAATGTTCATTTCTTTCTCGGCTTAGTGGGATATTATTTCAAATTTGTTTACAAGTTTGCAAGTGTTAAGACTTCTATTGATTGAGTTAATGAAGGGTAGTATACCATTTTGTTGGACACCAGCTTGTCCGGAAGTTGTGGATGGTGATCCTGAGTATAAGGTTGAGGCAATTCTCTTGTCCCGCAAAGCAAGGGGTGGTCGTTCCAAAGAATATTTACCTAATATGTTAATCAACTTGAGAGTCTTTTAGCAATCTTATATATGCTTATGAGCTTATCACAAAGTATGGAAATCGTAATAAAAAGTAGCTTTTATAAATTTTTGCAATAAATCTTGCAAATTAATAAAGTAATACATTTCAATCACATGTTTTTTTTGTTTGTTGGTTTTGGGTTAGTTTTTGGTAGGCTGATTTTGGCACTTCGGTGCATGAGTTAATCCATAACCATGGGCATAATTATTATAGATTGATCACAAATCCCTGCCTCTCTCTTATTGACCCATTTTTGTAAAGGGGCATGATCGTGTAACAATTTAATCTACCAATTTATAATAGTTGTCTAAATCTTTCTGATGAGGTTGACTTTTTCTCAAGGGAGTTAAGCCTCTCTCTTTATATCTCTGTAGGCAAGGGTGTATCATAAGCTAAGTGGTACTCAGAGTAGCAAGGGTAACTAACTCTATAAGTTATTTCCTTGCCAGTAACGGCTAGAGATTGTTTGAGTCTTCACGTCTTTTGATGTAGAGGAGAGGTAGTTTCCCCCACTCATTTAAATCAATGTGTTTCCCACAAAGTATATTTTTCATTAACTTTAGAAGTTGTTTCCTTGACGATTTGCTAAACTAGGGTATACATCAACAAGGATGCAATCTTCCCCAAGGGGGGGAGAGTGTCATAAATGTGACTTTGAATATTGAAAAATATTTATTGGCTAATCCTTATGAACACTTTTTCCTTACTGCCATGATAGCAAGAGGTCGATACAATTGGTTCCCTTTATAGTTCCCATTGAGAAACTAGTCAATGCATGTGTACTTAAATTGAATAAACATAATGTAGGAACCCTTATGTGTTTTTTGCTGAGTTTACTCAACTTAGTTTGAGAAACTTATATTATTGGTTTGCACTTGTGAGTATCAAGAACCATTACGATATTGAGTCTATTCTCTCAATATTGTTACACCATATCTACCAGACACCCTTGCTTTCATACCTCTTGTATTAGTCTCATTCTGAATCTATATGCTATTTATGATAGTGTTTAGATTCGCTTAAAATACATATTTATAGAATGTAGAGTGTCTTAAACCCCATGGTGTTATTCTTGCATCCTAATTTATGATCTAACACCATTCCATATTTAATACATTTCAAACTTGTCCTAGAGACTAACTCTTGGTATTAAAAGTGAAAGCCCAAAGCATGTGTTCCTAAAGGGGGGGAAGGGGATATAGGGGGTTTTAAATGTATAGTAAGGATAATAGATAAATTGCATGGTCAACCATCTAAGACATTAATTTAGCTAAGCTGTGTTGTTTCTTATTCTACATTTGGTTTAAATATAAGCCCAAGCTCCATGCTATTCTAATCGGTGGGGTACCTTTTTCATATTAGATCACTGCTATGCTGAAATTGTGCCAGACACTATCTGACACTAGTTTGTATATAGGAGTTGAATACAGGGAGTTGGTGCTCATAAAGGATATTGAATGTGTACAAGACTTTTGTTTTATAATATAATAGCCTTGGAGTTCGGCTCTAAATTCAAGTACAATATACCCACCCTAGGTAGAGTATGGTTTTAATAAGCCATGTAAGGTATTTAAATAAATAGTGCCATCCATATTTGGATTGAGAGTATTGACCATTTAATCTCCTAGAGAAGATAAAGCTAACTCTTAAACACTTTATCAAGTCATTTTAATTATCTATCTATGTTCACTTTAGCTTTGGACTCTCTAGCATTCTCATTTACAGTGTAGGTATAGCCTTTCTTGGTCATAAAGTCTAGGAGAAGGGTGAATTAAGAACTACCTTAAAAGTGTCAACTTGCATATTTATATGAACCTTTGAAACCTTAGAGTGCTTTAGATCAAATATCCCTAAAAACCATATATATAGACTTTCTGGAAAGTCATTCAACCTAATATTATTTAAACTTAATGATGTTTAATCATATATATCCCAAAATCTTTAACCGATTTGAAAAGGGGATGCACTTTTATTCATGAGCTTTTTCCCTTTATATTTAAACTCTTAAAGATTATCTCACCATGCTTGAAAAGGTCATTTATTCTAATAATATTCAAACCTAAGGACACTTAATCTCAACTATTCTAAAACCTTTAACTAATTAAAAAAAAGTGCATTATTATTCATGGGACCTTTATATTTGAACCCTTATGAGTTATCTTTGAAATCATTGTTTTTGGTTGGTTACATCATACACATATGGCTCTTTATTAATAATTAATAATTATATTTTATAATTTTTTTTTTTAAAACTAATTTAATGATTATTTTTTAATCTCATTACCAATTATCTATATAATATTAGATAGATATAGGTTCTTCTAATAAAAAGTATAACTAGTAAAATTTTCAGTGGTATTATTAGGGTTTTTATTTGCTAGGTAATATCTCTTTAATAGATGTAAACAAGTTTACTAAAGTATATAATAGTTTTGTCAAACTTTTAGTGTTGTTGCTTTCATGACCAAATATTACCATAGATCTATAGTATGTGCATCAATAATAGGATTCTACAAATTCTTTGTGTTACAAAAATTTTGTATGAACAATGCTAAATTGAAAAGATTAAATTCCATAGTTTTGTAATATATAATACATCATTGAAAACTTTATTTTATTTAATTTTAAGCATAATTCTTGAGCTAATTGTAAGTTACATAATTAAAAAATTTCTTTAAAGTGAATAATTACAATACTCGATTATTATATGTCGCCTTTGGCATACGGCTTGCAAATTGCATCCTCTGCCTCGTCAAGGACAATGATTGGTGATTTGAAGCACAAATGAAAGGTTTTTACAGACTGAAAGACATGGTAAGCTTCTGTCATTCTCATGCAATGCTTGACTTGATGCGAACAATCTGAGTTTTCAGCACGCAAGGAGAAGAAAGCTATTTGCCAAGGCTGTGTTTGATTTACAACGAATCGTATCAGGAAAATGTAATGCTTGGAGTAAACATGAATGTGAATGAACTTCTTAATTCTTTTCAAGGTTCTGCTTGTACTCTTGGCTCTCCAGGAATGGATGAATCATGTCGAACATATGTGGCTCGCAGTACAAGTCGTTTGGCACGTCCTCCCAGTGAAGCGACACCTTTCTCAGAGCCTCGAGCAGCAGCTCGACGAGGATCTCGCAACCCTTTGGCGAGATATGCATTCCGTCACTGCCAAGAAACATAGAAGCATCACGAAGTTTTCTAGCAAATAAGATCAGTCTGTAACCTGAGGCACTCCGTCTCCCAGTTCTCCACACGCTTGATCGCGTTATGTAAATCAACAACGCCAACTTTCATCTCCTCGGCAACGGATAGACAAGCTTGAGCATAAGCTTGAGCTCGCTCGTCGGTACGATCGAGCCAATTCGGTGCTAGGGGACCAAATCTCTTCCTGGAGAAACAATCCCAAGAAACTATCGAGTGATGCCAAAAAAAAAAAAAACTGACCAGGAAAGGGCTCGTCGAGCTTCGTCATTGATAGGAGGGGGAGTTATCAGCAGCACTCGAGTGGAATCCGAGAGAGACTAAAACGAGAAATCTTTTAGTACGAGTTACGAGCTCATGGAGAGGGATCGATCGATAGTAACCTGGCAATACTCACACATATAACGCAAGTTTTCCTTGTATTCGGGAATAGGGACAAACTGGCCTTTGCCACTGGGAAGTGGAAATGCGGCATCGTTTGTTCCCAGGAAGATCACAATCAGAGCCGGCTGCTGGGACTCTGGAGAATCCTGCAAAGTAGCAACGAGAAAAGAAGATGAGCAACAAAGAAGAAGAACTTGAGCGTTTCTTTGCAAGCACCTTTGGTAGGAAGTGTGGGAGAGCTGCTCTTGCTCGGCGGGTATTCCAGCCTCTGTATCCACGCAGTAAAATATCAGCCTGGCACCATTTGATAGATTTCCGGTTACTCGGGAAGTGGGGATTCTAAGAGCACATCCAACCTTTCGCGAGTAGAGATCCGCGAGCACCGCGCCCCATCCTCCTGGGCGGAACGAGTACTCCACCATGGACGCGCCCAGCAGCACGAAAGCCGGTCGCTTGTGCGCCATGGATTGGAGCGAGCTCAGCGCCCTACACTGCTATAACGTACAAACTCATGGAAGTCTTAAATCACGAGGGACCCAAGAAAGTTTGGAAACTTTCGACGTAGCCCAAGGCAAAGATCATACAGCACGCTCAACTGGACACGATCGATTCTCAGGAGAAAAAGAAAAGAAAAGAAAAACCCCAGAGATTTGGGGGAATAGCCCAAATCTCAATCCTAGCGAAGCTACGTTGTGCTAGAAAGAATGCCAACACGCCACGACACCATGTACACGATTTTACATCCGAAAGTGACGCTGACAATCAAGCAATCAACTTCGAGAAAAGACTTCAAAGTTTCTCAACTTGATTGATACGTGGCAATAGGGATATTATTGAATAATTCTAGACTATTTCTTATAGTCTCTTCCCTATAAGCTTCCTTAGCTGTGTTTGGGTGGAAATTTGAACCAATGTAGATTCCACCCCTCGATTACTTCCCATCACTATAGTATCACTCTTGTAACCTCATGTGAACCACTATTCGACCCAAGATTGTAGAGTAGCAGCTACTCCTGTAGGCTCCAACTATTTTTCTGGAATGGATTTATGAGAATAACAGGTTAGATTGTACAGCGAGAGAGATTATTAGTAGCAATGAACTTAACTATGCCAAAAAAGAATCAATTGGAGTTCAAGAGACACTGGATTTGTCTCGCTCCGGCGCGTTTTCCTTGTGGCAGGAAGGCTACTTTAACCTTGCGGAGTGTGACGGCCACACCAGAATCAAGTCGTTCTCTGCGAGTTTAATGGTAATTCTGCCAGCGCTTTGATCCATTCTGACAGAAACTCTTTGCATTGCAGGTTGAGAAAAGAAACAACCTTCTTGTCAAGGTTTATGTTGCCTTGAACTTGTGATGATGTGCATCCTGGTGAGGTTTCATGAGAGTTTTAGAAGCGCTTGCTAGTAGAAGTTTTGCAGACTGGGGTAAAGATATCAGCGACCGTTCACTCGGTGCTCCTGTTTTCAGACTGCAATGGATAAATGTTCGAGCGTATCCAAAAGAATGGTCAGCATTTTAACGACGCAGGAACTTGGTTGATTTTTTATTGTGTTTTTCCATTTTATCAAGTTTCCTCTTGTTCCACAGTACTGTATGCACCCTGACATTTGAAGATTTCCTTCAACACACTACTACAGAGGTAGATGGAACAACTGTGTTACATGGCAACTAAAGCTCCCTTCCACCCCAAAAGGTTCGTTCGATCTTTTGAAATCATCAAGATTGGATTTGCAGCGTCACCGTGGTTTGTCAGAGAGTTTGTGCTGCTTCCTCACCCCCGCCAATATTGGTGCCAGCTTGGGCCCAGATAATTTATCAGAGAAGGGAGGTTCCTTCTTAATTGAACACAAATCAATCCAATGATTACATGTACACAAACATTCATGTAATCTATCATTAGATTGATTTAGATCTTCTCCTGTTCAATTAAGAAACAAAAAAACACAACCTTAAAAGAACCTTAGAAGATGGTAGAAAGTTAGATATTTGTCTGGCAGCTTCAAAAGAGAAATAAATCACTCGACTCGAAGAAAGACTTGATACTATTGCCCAAATTTTCTGCAAGCAAGACCCCCAAAAGTAGCAACACAAGAGATCCCATGCAGAAAAAACTGTCTCAATAAAACCAAGTCAACACTCTCAGTCAACGACCACTGAAGTCAACCAAAAGTCAGCGACCCTAGCGCTTCACCTTCTGACAAATCGAGGTCCCTTCCACTTTCTCCTCTGTGTGTGTGTGTGTGTGAGAGAGAGAGAGATAGAGAGAGAGGCGATGGCGCCTGGATCAGCGACTCCTTCTCCATCACGACCCACTGGTAAGAAAACCCAATGCGCTCCTCCCCCCTCCAATTTCTCCTCACATTCCCCCAGGATTTGTAGTGGCCGAGTCGCAAGCTCAGACGCCGGCGGTGATGCCAATTCCTGTCATCCCTGTGGCCGTTCCAGGTTAGAAGAAGATCAGCCAAGTTACAAACGCTTACTAGAGGAGGTTTCTTCGTTTTTCCTCCTTTACAGGAAGTTCGTCGCCATCGCTGCTGCTGATGCAGAGGCAGCAGCTGCCAATGCCGGCGGCGCTTCCGACAACCGCGGACAGTCGAGTCATGACCGAGGATCAGCTCGCGCAGTTCGCCGAACAGATCAGGCAGTTCTCAGAGATCTCTCGCTTCAGCATCCAACGCCAGAAAGCGAGCATGGACGCTGAGAGGCAGCGTCGAACTCACAAATCTGGTAAACAACAAAAACAAAATCTCGTTTTGATGCTAGAAAAAGAGAAAAAGAGAAAACAAAATCCACCTTTACTGATCTTCCAGGATTCCGAGGCTCGTCCAGCAACACCGAACGGCCACCCGGAGCCACTCGGCCTCGCTGGAAACCAACGCCTGTCCAGATATCAATCCTTGAGTATATATTTGAGAACAGCGACTTACTTCCAGGAGACAAGGACATCACCATCATCACCGACGGCCTCCGGCTCTATGGGCCAGTCGAGGAGGTGAACGTCTTCTACTGGTTCCAAAACAGGCGAGCTCGGGCCAAGCGGACTGCAAATCAGGACCACCACCCAAAGGTCAGGAACTTTGATCCTGCAAAAACTTTAGAACCATTTGAAAAGCTGTAAAAGGATCTCACCATGAAGCTCGTTTCATTGTCGCGAAGGTGTTTGAGCATATATGTTGGCCATCAGATCGTAAGTTGCCGCACTGTCCGTCGCTTCCTGTAATGACTTGAAAGCAGCCTTTCCCACCTCGACGTTCTTGAGCTTGCAACAGGCAGCTAGAACGGCCAACCATGCTGCCGTGCTTGGTCCTGTCTCCGCCATAGCTATCGCTTCGTTTAGTTCGTCAGCTCGTCCAAACAAATCAGCCATGCACCCGTAGTGCTCAATCCCTGGAGCTACTCCAAACTTGGAAGCCATAGCTGCAAAGAGCTGTCTGCCTCTGTGAACCAAACCAGCATGACTACAAGCGCTGAGAACACCAACGAAAGTTACCACATCTGGTTGCACACCTTCGTCCTGCATTCTCCCCCAAGAATCAAACACCAATCCAGTGTTTCCCTGGTGACTGTATCCTGTTATGAGCGTATTCCAGCTGATCAAGCCTCTTTCCCGAAGCAAATCAAAGAGCTGCTGAGAGGTTGCCATTCTTCCACACTTTGCATAAAAATCCACAAGACAATTCGCTGTCACTGCCTCGTCTTCAAGGCCATGCCTGCACACCTCGGCGTGAATTTCTCTTCCGACTTTAATCAAGCCTGCTGCAGCACAAGCCTTCAACGCAGCGACGTAAGTCTGGCAATTTGGTCGACAACCTCGTCGCGTCATGGAAGAAAACAAATCCAAGGCTTGCTCTTCTTCCTGTGTTTCAGCATAGCCGAGAATGAGTGCAGTCCACAACACCACACCCGGCCTTGGGATCCTGTCAAAGAGCCTTTTCGCGTCCGCCAAGCTCCCACACTTTGCATACAAGTCCACGAATGCACTCGCCAGGAAGGTACTTGAGTCGTGTCCAAGGTTTGCAGCTCGAGAGTGCACAGCCATGGCTTTTTCCAGGGCCGCCACCTTGATAGGCTTTCCATCTATTTTCGTGTGAAGTTCCTTGGTTGCTAGAGTGGTGCATGCCTTGACAGCAGCAACGAGCATCTGCGCATCCATCTTCTCTTGCGTGAGTGAAAGTAACTCCAGAGCCAGATTTTCCTGCCCGTTCTCAACATATCCCAGCATGAGTGACGTCCACGACACGACACTGCGCGTCTTCATGCCGTCGAACACCCTTTGAGAATCCCAAATGCTTCCACACCTGGCGTACGAGTCCACAAGAGCGTTGGCCAACTGAAGGTCTAGCTCGCCAAAACCGTCCAAAGCTCGCGAGTGAACTGTCATGACTCTTTCCAGGCACACCGCTTTCACTGCTTCTTTCTCGGCCAGTTTGGTGCATGCCTTAAGGACCGCAAGTAACGTCCGCGAGTTTGGCTTGCACCCCTGAGCTTGCATTTCCCGGAACAAATCCAACGCAGCATCTGCTTCACCGTGCTCGCAGTAACCGAGCATCAAAACAGTCCAGGAGACGACCCGACGATCTTCCAGAGCGGCAAAGATGCTCCGAGCGTCGGCCAAGCTTCCACACTTCGCGTACATGCCAATCGCTGTGTTTGACAGAAAAGCATTGGAGCTCAATCCAGCTTTTGCTGCCTCGGAAAGCAAAGCCATACCTCGATCCAAAGACAAGAGCTTGACAACCTTCCCACCCTCCAGTTGCTGGCCCTGTTCTTTCTCCGCCAGCTTGGAGCACGCTTTGATCGCCGCAACAAAGCTCCGGCCATCTGGAACACAGCCTTCGTCAATCATCCTCTCAAAAACTCTCAAGCTCGTCTCTTCCAAATCATTCTCTACATACCCCAGCATCAGCGTGTTCCATGTCACTGCGTCGCATCTAGCCATGCCGTGGAACACCGCAACCGCGTCCACAAGGCTCCCGCAATTAAAATACACATTCACAAGCGCATTCGCGACGAAGAGATCTTGCGCCAGGCCTCGGCGAATCGCGAGAGCGTGCGCATTCCTCGCCCGAGCGCCATCCCTGGCGATCGCGCAAGCCTTGAATTCGGCGACAATGGCGAAAATCTCCCCATCGCGCATCCTCCGCAAGAGCCCTAAAATCTTAGAACCCTAGGCACAACTCATCGAATATTCTCTTTCAAACAAGAAAGATTCTAAGAATATTCTCCGCACCACTTGGAAAATTTCGGTTGAAAATTTCGCGCCAAGAACGGTTGGGCATGTTAGATTGCTGTACACAAGATTGGACAGTTTTAATCGTGTAACGCCCAAACATCATAAAAATAATAGCGCAGAAATCTAACAGAAAGTATCGCTTCATGTTCCTTGCATCCCAAGTCCAAATCGCTGGATTGGGGAGGTATTGTTTAATCGATTCGGTGGTTTTTTTTCATGATCATGGGATGGTTTCTTCACGGCTATGGTGGCGATGGCGGATCCCATGGCGGAGAGGCGTCGTGCCATCCATCACACACCAAGTCATGGGAATGCACGTTATGCTATAGTGATCCTATGGGACCAATCTCTTGACTATATAAGCCACACCCATTCCACCCCCATTCATTGTCTCGTGCTTAAAGACTCTCTTAGATTCCCTCGTCTCTCTTCTCTTGATCTTCCCTCCAAGAAGGAGAGAAGAACAAATGGAGATGTCTCTTCCAGCGATTTCTCTTGCGATCTTCCTGCTGCTCGCAAGCGTGTGTGATGCTTCGTACTACCGCGAGAAGAAGAACAAGTACGTCGATGAGAAGTATCATAACAGGGGATCATACTACTTCAACAAGTACTACGGCTACGCCTACAAATTCAAGCGATCCCCGCCGCCGCCACCGCCGCCAATGAGGAAGAAACCATCCCCGAAGCCGTCGCCCTGGCCGAGCACTCCATCCATCCCAGCGCCGCCACAATCGAGCCTGGCGGCCCAGTTCATGATGCCCCAGAACGATGCGCGCGCGCGATTGGGATTGAGGCCACTCATCTGGGATTCCAAGCTCCAGGCATTCGCGGAGGATTGGGCGAACCAGCGCGCGAGATATGGGAATTGCTACCTCCAGCACTCGAATGGGCCTTACGGCGAGAACATCTTTTGGGGCGGCGGCAAGGCCTGGAGCCCGGCCGAGGCCGCCAATGCCTGGATCGAGGAGCGCAATTGGTACAACTATGGATCCAACTCGTGCCAATCCGGGCAGCAGTGCGGCCACTACACCCAGATCGTGTGGAGGGATTCCGAGAGGATTGGATGCGCGCGCGTTACTTGCAGCAGTGGCGATGTTTTCATGACTTGCAACTACGATCCTCCCGGGAACTACATTGGCGAGAAACCCTACTGATTGATTCGATCGATCCATTTTGTGGGATCTATCAAATCGAGAAGGAAGCGTTGACCATTGAATAAGCTTGACCATAGACGCCCGGTCAACTGCTGAGGTGTCGCATTATTTAGTTGATATAAAACGGAATAAAGAATTTTACCATTTCTTCGTTCTTGTTTTAGGGTTCTTTCTTTCCCATGGTCACCATGGATGGAAGAGCTCCCGATTCTCTCGGCGCGGCCATCGCCACGGCTGTGGAGCGCATCGGTAAGCTCCAGGAGGCGTTTCTTGCGGTGCGGAGCTTGCGAGGGTCTGCCCTGGCCGTGGAATGGAGCGAGCTCAAGGAGGATTTGAGCGACAAGGAGCAGAATCTCAGGCAGAGGTACGAGCAGCTAGTTGCCATGGAGCGGGATTTCGAGGCCCGGAGCAGGGAAATCCAAGGCAACATCGCCAAGCGCGACGCCGAAATCTCCGACAAGGAAGACGCCTTGAATCAAAAGGACCGGGATCTAGCAGTGGTAGAGGCAGTAGAGAACCAGCAGCAGCAGGGCAAAGAGCCAGGAATCCAGCCAATGGACACCGACATTGTCGTGGATTACTCTCCAGCAAAGATCCCACCGCTCAAGGACTCCTCTTCTTGCGACGCTGGGAATGCATCCCAGGACAAGGCGGCGGAGGTGAGAGTTCGTCCATATCTTAAGTCGCTGTGTGAGAACATGGATGGAGAAGGGCTCAGGAAGTATGTGATCGATCACAAGAAGGACATGGGTGCTCTCCGGATTGAGATGCCGTCGGCTCTGCAGCACGCTAGCGATCCGGCACGGCTGGTGCTGGATGCGATCCAGGGGTACTACCATCCACCGGAGCTCGATTCTAGTAGCAACGAAGTGGGATCTTCCGCTCCCGCCAACCGGAGAGCTTGCATTCTTTTGCTAGAGGCATTGTCGTCGGTACTTGGTGTCGATCATCCAGAGGTGCCACTCGATATAAAGTTTCTGGTGAGGGAAGTGGCCCAGCAGTGGAAGTCCAACATGGACATCCAGGATGGCCCCGAGGGGAACTCTTTGGATGCTCAAGCGTTCCTTCAGCTCTTGGTAGCTTATGGTCTCAGCTCCGAGTATGATGAGGAAGAGCTGTGCAAACTGGTTCTAGCCGTCGCACGACGAAAGCAGTCGCCTGCTCTTTGCAAGGCTCTTAATCTGTCGCATAAGATTCCGGGTTGGTCTTCTTTAGCTCCAGCGTGTGTGAGAGAGCGAGGGAGGAGGATCCTCTCTATTTCCTTCTTTTCCTTTTTGCCTAGATTTTTTCTTCTTTCTGGCTGCCTGTGTGTTTGGGACTCTAGGATTCATTTCTTTGTGCTGCCGTTCTAATGAAGTGTTTCTTGTTTGGTTTTCTTTGCAGAGATCGTGGATCATCTTGCTGCTGATGGAAAGCAAATCGAGGCTCTTGCGTTTGCACACGCATTTGACATGATGGACCGTCTAGAGCCCGTATCTCTCCTCAAGACTTACTTGAAAGACGCACGAAGGAACGTTCACAACAAGCCTGGCAATGGTCCCAAGGGTCAGGTAAGCACTGCTTCTTACTAGGTAATCACTCAGACATTCCCTTGCTCGTTGCCACAGGTCGATGCCGTGACTAAAGAGCTAACCGCTGTCAAGAACGTGATAAAATGCATAGAGGACTACCGGCTAGAAGACGACTACCCGTCTTCCCCGCTACACAAGCGAGTAGTTCTTTTAGAGAGAACCAAGTCGGAGAGGAAGAGAACAGGTGGCTCGGTTAAAGGTCAGGCAAAGCGTCCGAGAAACGGAGGCTACGACAGAAACTACTTTAACAGGCCAGCGGACAAATTCCAAGTTTTCAGCGAGGTCCCTTACAGCCTCGCCCCGGCGCCAGCTTACGATGCTCGGCTTCCCGCAACATACTCAACTTACGCTCCAGCGGGTGTAGCAAATGGCAGGAGTAGAACACCGGCAGGGGGGAGCTATGTCTACTCGGTCGATGGCTCTATCTACAGCTCCAACATTTACGGAACACAATCTCCAGCGCCTTACACCAGTTACCAGATTGCTCCCGGGCTTCCGCCGCCACCACCGACTTACCAGACAACTTTCATGCACTAGCTGGGTGGAAAGGAATGGGAGCTCTCGAGAATAAACAGGGGTGGATGTACATCAAGAGGAAATAACAAGCAGCTCATTTTCTTCTTTCTTTCTTTCCTTTTTCCCCCGTTTTTTTCCGAAGGTTGGTGCTTGCTATTTGGAACTTCTTAGGTTTTTACTCTTCCAGGAAGAATGAAGACATTGGCGCTGCCTTGTGGTGCCATGGTGCCACTTTGTCTCGTCCAGGTAACTGGGTTCTCGTTACTTTGCTTTGTTAACTCGTTAACTTCGCAGAGAGTGAGCGCTTCAGCTGTGGTTTATCCGGTTGGGAGCTTGCACAAGACAGTGCCAAGACGTTCTGTGAGTGAGTTTATATTCTTTTCTTTGTCTAATTGTGTTGCAAACAGGCTTGCTGCAAAGTTGTATCCACAAAAGCAGCAGCATTTGACGATGTTTTCGGTTTTTCTGCGAAAGAAGAAGGATCTGGGATAGAAAATGCGGGTGGTGCCAATGCAGCTCGTGCGAAGAGGAGTAACTGGTAATCCTTGTCTGCCTTCTCACTTACAATCTTAGTTTTATTTATTTGTTTTCCAGGAGGCAAGGAGGTCTTGTTATCACTTTGATTCTTTCCTCGGTTGTGTTCATCGCATTTATTTTCGTCGATTCTTTGCTATGGAGAGCTGTCCGACGTTCCAGTGCTACGTTTCTTCTCACAGCTCCATTTGTTTGCTCGCTAGTCGCAACTGGCTGCCTCGGATCATACTGCGTGCCGCTGCTTGCAAAGCTCAAGGCCCAGCAGATATTTCGAGTAGAGGGCCCGGCTTCGCATCTTTCAAAGGCTGGAACACCAACAATGGGTGGCCTGTTCTTTATTCCGGTGGGAGTCGGTGTTGCGAGAGCTGCAACCAGATTTTCGTCCACAGAAGTAGCCGGAGTAGCAGCAGCGACCCTGGTTTTTGCAGCTATTGGCCTCCTAGACGATTTTCTGTCGCTGGCGAAGAAGCATAACTATGGAGTTCCAGGACCTTTCAAGTTTCTTCTCGAGGTTTGCTGATTTTGTTCTCAAGTTTTTTCTTTCAACAAACAAGCTCCTTGTAGGTGGTCAGTGGCGTGTGTTTCTTCTTCTGGCTGGATTCAGCGGGCTTGCCTTCTCCGTACAAAGTGTATGTCAATGTCAGCTCAAGTTTGGCCGATATCTTCTCTTTTCTTTTTTTCGGTTACAGGAAGAATCTGGTGCCTTTGCCACCTCCAGTAGGCTTGTGGAATATTGGCAAGTGGTATCTTCCACTCACTGCCTTTTGCTTCGCAGCAATGGCCAACGGTGTCAACCTCACAGACGGTCTGGATGGTCTTGCTGGCGGAACTGCTGCTCTGGCTTTTGCGGGAATGGCCGTGGCTGTTCTTCCCATATATCCTGGTAAGCGTAAGCAGCATTGAAAGCTTGCCATGACCAGTCTCTCTTCCCTTGCAGCTCTGGGAGTTTTCGGAGCATCCATGGCCGGTGCTTGCGTGGGATTCTTACTGCATAACCGGCACAAAGCGTCCGTGTTTATGGGAGACACCGGCTCCCTCGCTCTTGGAGCGGCTCTTGCAGCGATGGCCTCATGCACGGGCTTGTTTCTTCCTCTCTTCATTGCATCGGGCGTGTTTGTCATCGAAACAGTCTCAGTCATGGCTCAGGTAACCAGCACCATCTTTCGTTCTTTCTTCTTCCACTGTCAGCTCTCTTTTCCTATCATAGGTTGCTTACTTCAGGTATACGAAGAGAGTTCACGGAACTGGACGCCGTTTGCTGCGAATGGCACCCTTCCATCACCATTTGGAGCACCTGGGGATGGAAGAGTTACACATCGTCGCTGGAGCATACCTCGTTTCAGCTCTTCTAGTCACATTCGCTGCTCACGTCGGCCTTATTTCGGCTTGAAGAGAGGTAAACATCATGCTCGAGGAGAACCATTACGCGTTTTCTCAATACAGATTACATATATCTTCTGGATCTGAAGATGCATTGACGAAGAGGGGACCGGAGACAAAGAATGAAAAAATGCTCCTAGGCAACTGTGAGTGAGGTTCTTTCTTTTCCTCTTTTCCTTTTCACGCTGTGGTCGAGGCCACTGGGACTTTCTGGTCTTCCCCCGGCTGCACGATGACAAAGTTCACAGTCGAGGGAGACCCGCCAGCAACAGGTGATTGATGGGAGGAGTGATCCGGTTTGTGTCTCTTTGCTCCAGATTGCTCCAGATTGCTGGGGACATGAGGAGCAGCTTCAAATGCCGGGCTGTGATCCGGTGCTCCTCGTCGCGTCTTGGCCAGGAGCACCGTCTCAGCTCGGAGCTGCTTGCAAACTTCTCGGACTCTCCTGATCCCTGTGACACAAACACAACAGTGAGTCAGACTAGTTGGGGTTGGAAGGAGGGGGGGATATTTTTTCTCATTTTTTCTGGGATAGGGGGGAGAGATTTGCCACCCAACCAACCTCGTCTCAGATCCACAGCAGCTGTTGTGTTGTGGTACATTTGGGTCTTCAAAACCTGGAGATGATCAATCACCAAACATCAGCAGTTGGAACCCTAAACATGGGAAATCCACACACCTGAATCACAAGAGGCCTCAACTGTTGGACTGCTTGTTCCAGCTCAAAATACCGGTTTGGTTCGCCTAATAGCTGCTGCTGCTGCTGGTACAAATGTTGCTGCTCCATCCCCCACCTCCAATTGCGATTCCACACAAAACCCACCCAAAACACTGGGAGGAAAAAAGCCCTACCTAAAAAGCTATTCCTCTTTCCCCTTGGATAAATAAAAGAAATAGCCAAGGAATTTATTTCTCTCCTCTCTACAGCTTTTATGATATAGTAATCACACTTTAATCAAGTGGCACTTGAAACACTTCCAAGATCTATATACCAGCTAGCATACGTTTCATGCTAAACTTACTTGCCACCCTCCTTGATCTGGATCATCGCTATAACGTTTGTTTGTCACCAAAATATTTGTGCAACGCTTTGATCAACACCTTGTCTACAAACAGCTTCTTCAGATCGAGTCTGGAACCGGGCTCACGATTTGCCCTTGATCCGACCCAAACCTTCTGTTTTGTTTAAACTCTTGATCGATCTCGTCATGGCATACTTCCGGCTATCTGCATTGTAAGCTTGATCTAGTCTTTCCCAAAATCAGGTTCTGCAACCGTGGCCTCCAGCCAAAACTCTTTACACCATCTTCATCTTCAAGAGAAGGAATAGCTTTGGTCCATTCAAACTATTCAACAGTTGGGAAGGTTTCATGGAAGCGTCAGCTTTTGGATTTTTTGGGATTTGTGACTGGTTTTCTTCTTGCCGCTCGGACGAGCCCTCGACTTTACATCACCGTCTTCGATCGGGCATGTATTCACCACGGTCCTTGTCTGATCGTCTTCGTAAACCACTGTTTCTGTGACAGGGAACAACATTATTAGAGAGGAATGGTTCCTTGTCTAGCACACCTTCCAGATTATCGCCTTCCGCTTGGTCGTCAACTTCCTCGGGATCATGAGAACTCTCGGGATCTTGTTGCAATCCAAGCGCTTGTTTTCTGAGCAGCCGCCTCTGTGAGGCAAAAACAATAGACTAGAAGTTAGACAAACCTTGATGCAAGAGCTCTGCGCAGAAGACGGGATTGATCTAAGATTCGTCTCTAGAAATGTTTTACCTCTTGCCTCGCCGCGAGTTTTTTCTTCCTCTCCTTTGCTTGCTGCTGCATAGCCCCTGCCTTGCGCCTCTGATTCTTTCTCTTCCTGAATCCCGTCAGGAACTCCCTACAGACAACACAAGCCCAGCCTCGCATTCTCGCTGCCGCTCCAAAATCCACACTTACCTGCGCTTGGCCTCGTCGAATTCCACGACAAGCCCCTTGTCGCGCCGCGCGCGCTTGGCGCCACCCCCCGGCCTCGCCATAGCCGAGCTGCCCTAAAACCCTCACCTTGCCCCGTCAGCCCTAAGTTTCAAACGCATCTATCAAATCCACCACGTGGGATAAAGTGAGGCAAATGCCAGTCAGAAGTTCTGGCACGAGCTTTTTGGAAGCGCTAGGGCGGTGGAGGGCGTCTTGTGCGTCGCATTCCTGGTGAGTTCTCAATCCAGGCGATCGATGTGGTAGATTTTGGGGCGCTGATGGGAGAATGTGATGTAGATTGAGCAATGCAGCGATTCCAGCTCGCGATCTTTGCCGCATTGTGGTTCTTGAGCGCGGGAGCAGCTCTAGGGATTGGCGGCGGCCATAAGAAGCATCGAATCAATCGATGTAGCTTCCCCAAGGGATTCGTGTTTGGGACTGCATCAGCTGCCTATCAGGTATGGAAAAGGAAGATTTTTCTTCCATCCCTGCTTTATTTTCTTCTTTGGGATGTCACAATATCGTGTTTGTTTCTTCCCAGTATGAAGGGGCTGTGAAAGAGGATGGTCGAAAGCCGAGCATCTGGGACACTTTCTCGCACACTCCAGGTTCTAGCGTTTTTTTTTTTTCTCAATGTAGCTTGCGATTTTTACTCGTTTCTAGAAAATCTCCAGGGAAGACTACAGGCGGAAAAAATGGAGATATTGCCGAAGATCAGTATCACCGTTATCGGGTAAAAGACAATTTCTTCGTTGCTGTATTTCCAGAGGCTTAAAAGTCTCCGAGTTGCAGGAAGATATTGGCTTAATGAAGAACATGAATATGGATGCGTACAGATTTTCTATCTCCTGGTCACGAATATATCCAGGTAGAGGGAATGTAAAGTTCGTTGTCACGGCTTTTTCACATCGCTTTTGAAGATGGAGACACGAAGAATCTCAATGCTGCTGGAGTCGCCCATTATAATATGCTCATCAATAGCTTGCTACACGAAGGTAAAGGGTCAGCCACTGCTGTCAGCCATCGTTGACACTGGCCTGTATTTATATTGCAGGAATTCAACCATACATCACTTTATACCATTGGGACTTGCCTCAAACTCTCGAAGATAGCGTCGGTGGATGGTTGAGTCCACAGATAGTGTAAGATTCCGTGACACTGTCCGTTGGTTGACTTATATCTTCTGGTTGTGATTTACAGAAGCAAATACGCAGCATACGCGGAAGCGTGTTTTGCTGCATTTGGAGACAGAGTCAAGCACTGGATTACTTTCAATGAGCCTCTATCTTTCATTACATCGGGCTACGCAAGTGGCTCGGGTCCTCCATCAAGGTGCACGTCGTGCTCCAAAGGAAACTCTGCCACAGAACCTTACATAGCAGCACATAATGTGTTACTCTCGCATGCCGCAGCAGTCGATATCTACCGAAAGAAGTACCAGGTAAAATGGTCTTCTTTAGATTTCTGGTGTGATAAACTAGCATCCAATGCAACAGCCTAAGCAAGGTGGTAAGATTGGTATAACTCTCAACTCCAACTGGTACGAACCGTCCACAAATTCGGCAGCAGACAAAGAGGCTGCCCAAAGAGGACTGGACTTCGACCTTGGATGGTATTTTCCTTGATCTTTACAATAATGCACGGCTAAAAGCGTTGTCGGCTGCTCAACAGGTTTCTAGAGCCCATTGTGTCTGGCGATTATCCAAGATCCATGCGAACATCTGCAGGGACTAGACTGCCTGTGTTTACACCGGAACAGGCAGCTGCCATTAAAGGTTCTATGGATTTTCTGGGACTAAACCACTACACTTCGAATTATGCAAAGGCCGGTCAAGTGGTTCCGAGGAATCAGGTTACTTACTACTTCCAGGACTCCAGAGTCGCGTCGTCATGTAAGAAGCACATAAACTCTTTGCAGCCATGTTTCTAAATGATCCATTTCCTTCTGCAGTTGAGAACAACGGAGTCGCAATTGGACCAAAAGTAAGCTGCAGAAGTTCATAACACTTGTCTGATGCTGTGATTCTCGAGCAGGCGGCATCAGATTGGCTTTACATTGTTCCATGGGGATTTCAAAAACTCGTCACTTACGTTGCTCAGCGCTACAACAATCCGGTGATCATCATCACTGAAAACGGTAAGAGCTCAGCTTAAGTTTCCAGTTTCTTTCTCGACCTCAATCACTCGGCAAAGCAGGAGTAGATGAATTCAACGATCCTTCCCGCTCGCTCAAACAATCTCTCCGTGACACCACGCGAGTGAAATACTACAGCGACTACATCTCCAATTTGCTCCAAGCCATCAGGTAGAACTTAAAAAAACTAGAGTTTTCTCACGATCATCGATGATTTTCTCACGAGTTTTTTGGATGATCCAGGAGCAAAGCCGACGTTCGAGGCTACTTTGCGTGGTCTCTGCTGGACAATTTCGAGTGGAACGATGGCTACAGCGTGAGATTTGGCCTCCATTTCGTGGACTTTAACAACAACCTCAAGCGCTATCCCAAGCACTCGGCTCTCTGGTTTAAGCGCTTTCTAAACCAAACATGTGCTTAAACTTCCTCTTAAGCTAATCCAATCCTAGATTTTTCACGTTTAAATGCTTGAAACCCTAGCAATGGCAAGGTATTGAGTGTCTCTCACGCATTCTTCCAGCCACCGCCGCGCAGCGGGCGATCGATCGATGATAGGGCAATGATCACGGCGAATTGCGACGAGGATGGAGCAGCGGGCCCATCAGCCGAGGGCAATCGGTGACTACATCACCAGCCAGGAGATTGGAGCAGGGTCTTTTGCGGTGGTGTGGAAGGCGCGGCACAAAATCACAGGGCATGAGGTCGCGATCAAGGAGATTGGCACTGAGAAGCTCAATAAGAAGCTCCAGGAGAGCCTCCTGTCGGAGATCTCCATCCTCAAGAAGGCGAATCATCCAAATATCATCCGCTTGCATGCTATTGTCGAGGTACTGTTTGAGCGCTTGTGTGAGGGATTTTTCTTCCTTTTTCGCTGTGAATGAATGGCATGGATTCGCAGGCTCCCGATCGCATCTATCTAATTTTGGAGTACTGCGCTGGTGGAGATTTGGCTGGCTACATTCATCGCCATGGCAAAGTTGGTGAATCGGCTGCCAGGAATATCATGCAACAGCTTGGTATGTGGAAGAATTCCTAGTTCTAACGAGGGAATCTAAAGGTTTTGATGGATAGGTTCTGGCCTCCAAGTTCTTCGGAAGAACAACTTGATCCACAGAGACTTAAAGCCTCAGGTATGCTTTCAAGAGTCCAGTTCTTCGCCACTGTTTTACTTCTTTGATTGAGGACAGAACTTACTGCTATCAACAAACGATCACAATGCTGTTCTCAAGATTGCTGACTTTGGATTTGCGCGGTATAGCTCTCCCTTCCTTGCTCCATGTTTCTATATCTTGTTTCTTTGCTTGCAGGTCACTGCAACCTCAAGGTATGGCGGAGACGCTTTGTGGCTCACCTTTGTACATGGCTCCGGAGATCTTACATTGTCAAAAATATGATGCAAAGGTACGTGTCTATGTCGTGTAGAGGCTGCTTTGCTCACCAGCCATTCCTTGTACAGGCTGACTTATGGAGCGTTGGGGCTATCCTCTATCAGCTTGTTCTCGGAAGGCCGCCATTTTCCGGAAATAATCATGTCCAGGTAGGTAAGCTATAATCCTTGAAGCAAAGTCTTAACTTTCGTTGTTTCTTCGTGTTATAGCTTTTGCAAAACATAACAAAGAATGAGGTCCAGTTCCCTCATGCAGCTCAGCTTCATCCTGATTGCATTGATATGTGCCGTAAATTGCTTCGACGGAATCCAGGTTGGCATCTCAATGTAGAATTTCTTTGCCTGACACACCTTTGTGTGTGTAGTTGAGCGTCTTTCGTTTGAGGAGTTCTTTAACCATCCCTTTATGAGGTAAGAAGTTAGTTGGATTTCCTCAAGTGCTTGAAATTTCTGTCTGTTCCCGTAGGCCAAGCTCGTTGAGGCCGTTTCATAAAGCCACTCATACGGACGTGGACTCCTTGGATTCTCATCAGGAAGATTGTTTCCCTTTCCTGATTGATGAGGAACCGCAAGGCACAATCGATATTCCTGTAAAGCAGCCACCGCAAACTCGAATCACAGGCGTGAAGCTATCAAATTCACCTCCTAATCTGTTCAAGGAGCAACGAGGCATTCCAGATCATGAAGAAACTGGGAAGGTTTATCATATGGCAGAGGCTGAGGCTTGCCAGGACGCTGAAGGATCCAGTTCTCCAAGAACAGGTGCTTATGTTTTTTAATTTCCTTTCTCCAAGCTCATTGTTTTATCTTTCCCTTCCGTTTTTTTTTTTTTTTTTTCAGTGGTGGATTCAATGGAGTATATAGAGCGAGACTATGTGGTAGTAAAACGGTTCACTTCACCAGAAGCACTGTCGCTAACATTCAGTGCCTCTCCGAATGACCAGCATGGAAGCAAAGGAGGATCACCTCATAAGAACTTTACAAAGTCTTCATCGCCAGTTCTACATGCTCCTCTTTCCGGTGGTGCTGGCAGTCGAGGTTCCACACCACCAGGTTTGTCTGAAGGATACCATCATCCTGATTCTGGCGACACGCTTGAAGCACCATCTCCTCACCCCGCAACGAGGATATCTTCGCTGCAGTGTTGTGCTCGCTTGGTGGCCGAGCTAGCCACAGATAAGGTTCGTTTATACTTGTTTTACTTTTTGGTGTGGAGCCCCTGGTTTTGCAGTTCAACTCTGGCCATCCTTTGGAATCACTCTCTGTGCATTTGATATGCCTTGCGATTTGGAAGGAAGCGTTGCAAGTGTGCCATGCCTGGGCAGCACCGGCAACTGGTCCCCGAGGCTTGGGAATGCCCAGAGATCAAGAAGGCGCTGCCACTTGCACGCAAGTAGAACACGAGTTTTCTCTCGCAGTTGATCGAGGTGATGGTTATGCTGCTCACTTGCGAAGCATGGACGGTAAGCGATCCAGACACTATATCTCGTTTTCATTCCAACTTACTCTTTCGATTCTCCAGGGAGCGTGGAGATGCCAGACGCAGTCGAGATCATCTTCCAGGCAGCCCTGACAGTCGGCCGAGCTGGAGCGGTAAGCTCTCAAGTTTCCAAGTTTCTTCCAAAGATTTAGAGCTTTCTCTCACAATCTCGCTTTCTCACAGGTGGAAGAGCTCATGGGAAACGTAGCAAACGCAAGCGTGGCTTATGGAAAAGCCGTGACTTTCCTCTACTTCCTACTCGTGGAGGGCCCTTGTTTGCAGCTAAATCCACCCCTGGCACTGACGCTCGGGGACAGGCAACGATTAAAACGCTACGCTGATATGATAAATGCGCGACTAAAAACGTGTACAGCACAAAGGGACCTCCCACAAGCTGGGAGAAGTTAAAAAGAGTGAAGAACAAATCACGGGCCACAGCACGGTGGTGGTAATGTATAGAGACGTACCATGTAATGTAAATAGTAATAATCCACGATAAGCTAACGGCTTTGTTGTGAGCCGTTGAAATCTCAGATGTGGCATCGACGGTGGAGGAGCTATTTTTGGGGTGGGACGGGCTGACGTGCGGAAGACGGGCCGTCGTTGACGGACGTCACATAGACTTACGGCCGAGGGGAAAAACATTTTGGAGGTCTCGGCTATGGCGGAGGACGCTGCCGAGAGGCGCATGGAGCGGCCGCTATTCGGAGTCTCGCCCCCGACGCCTACTGCGAGGTGAGCAATCGAAATCTTTCCTCCAATGTGTATCGCGGTAGCGCCGTCGCTCGCCGTGATTCTGGCGCTGGCAGCTGTGCTGTGCGAGTAGCTTGCGAGGGGATGTGATCTTCGGGGTTGTAGGGGTTTAGCGGCATCGCATTGGATGGCCATTGCTCTAATTTCTCTCCTCCTTGCAGCTCCGCGGGTCCAACCCTTGCCGTCCAGGGAAATTATGCGAGCATAGATTGGCATGGCCTAGCCCAGAAGAGGCCAGCGATTTCAGGTACCAGTGCTGGGCCGCCTCGCCCTGCTGTTAGCACAAGCACCGCAGCCGTGTCTGGATCGAGCTCTCACAGGCACCTCTGTAGGCCATGGGACTGTGGGGATTTACTGAGGCGTCTATCCACGTTTAGAACCAGCAACTGGAATGCCCAGGTAAGGAGTTTAGTTTTTTTTTCTGTGCTTTCTCTTTGCTTTTCCTGTTCTTAGAATCCTTGACAGCTTGAGCATAGATAGATTTACTTGGAAAAGTTCTTACTGCTCGAGGAAAAGCTAATACCCTCTCGTTTTGGGATTTCCTAGGTGATCGGTCCGGCCGTTTGCGCAAGGAAAGGCTGGGTCAATGTTGACGTTGATATGATCGCGTGTGAGGGGTGTGACACGCATCTCAGCTTCGCATTACCACTGCAGACTGAAGGTACTAGCAATCAATTGTCAAACATGCTTGAATCGGCGCTTCGTACGTTGTAGTTGAAGCTGCCTCAGAATCGTTTCGGAAGCAGCTGGAAACCAGCCATCAGAGGTCTTGTCCATGGAAGGGGAATGCGTGCTCCGAGTCCCTGGCACAATTCCCAAGCTCTGCTATGGCTTTGATTGGTGGTTACAATGATCGGTGTGACGCGCTGCTTCAACTTCCTAGTCTTCCGGTTGTCTCAACTTTTGCAGTTGATCAGATGAGGCTGTCCAGAGGTCCTCAGATTGAGCGCCTGCTTTCACTGCCTGCCATGCATTTCCCGGAAAGAAATGGAGCGGGACCATTGACAGATGACTTTGTCAAGGTACAGTGGATAGTTTTTCTACAGTGTCCGGATTGTCACTAACAAATCATGGGCTTTCCATCTGCAGGCACAGAGGATCATAAGCTTTTGTGGCTGGGAAGCTCGGTTGCTCCCACACGCTGGAGATCTCGAAGACTACTCAGCCCACTCTTCACGAAAGCCTAACAAGGCTTCTGCGTCCCTCAAGCGGGCGAAGCGGACCATGCCAAGATCTGATAAAGAAGGTGACAGCAGGGGAGCCAGACAGACCGCTTCGACGCTCTTGGAATGTGTCTACTGCGGAGCCAGCGTTCCTATTTTACGCTTTCAGACAGTTGCTCGTCCGGGTGGCGGAAGTACAGGTTCCGAGTATCCATCGTCGGACAACAAAAGTCTTCCCCTAGTTCGAGGAGCCAGCGCAGCGAGTAGCATCGACATTTACAAGAGAAGGCAGCGGTTGGAAGGTGGTGAAGCTGGCGAAGCGACAGAGCAGAAGCCACCATCGCTGAGTATCACAGCAGCAAGGGCCTCGCCAACCAACTTGAATGTCACTCCTGTAGCACGACCAGAACAGCAGCCGGAGGGAAGTGAGATGGGAGATTGCGGTGTAGCATCTTACGAGTCGAGAGGGCCACGGGATGATCACCAGGGAACAGCAGCTCAGGGTGACAGTTCCACGTACGTGCCACAGCTCAGGGCTGAGAGCGCTGGGGGTACGAATGGAGATTTTGACAATGAAGACGAGGGAAAGAACGCTGCCGAATCCTCAAAACGCAAGCGCGTGCCAGAGAGCCTAGCAGCTGATCAGCACTCTCTTGGAATGGCTGTCAGTGGCAACGCTGCTACGTGCGAGCAGGAAGGCGAGACCGAAGACCGGAAGAACAAGAAGGTCTGCATTGGGCCGGCAACCGCCATTGAACGGACTGTTAGCCTTGAAGTCCCTGACAACACTTACAACAGGAGTGCGAGAAGCTTGCCAGTACGTCAGGAGAACCTGCGAAGAAGAGTCACCAGAGAGTATCCATGCTCGTCGTCCGTGAATGCCATAGATACCTGCTTCCAGAACAAGATGGAAGACTCTATGGACAGCGTGGAGTTCGCTCCCCAGGATGATGCCCAGCAGCACACTGCTGCAAGTGGATATACAGAGAACGAGTGGCTGTTTGACGAGCCCAACAGTACTGTTCAAGGACAACAGAGCAACTCTTATGCGCCGGCGGCTATCCAAGAACAGGCGACCGGGGAAACTAATGCTGCTGTTATCAGCACTGGCACTGCTACTGGATGCGGTGGAAGCGTCGGTATGGCAGGCATTCGACTCGGCAGTCAGAGGGTTCAGAGCAACGAGGCTGATATTCAAGGAGCGGAGTTATCTGAACTTCAGACCGAGAGTGTCGCGGGAGAACCAGCTGACGCCGTGGTAGACGCAGTAGTGGATCAAGGTGACCCTGGCCTCGTTTGCGACTCAACGCCTCTAACAGCAGCCCAGGACTGTGCCGGTGGTGGGGACGAGTCAGGGGAAAGTGGCTCCAAAGCGAGCCTAAGGCCACGCAATGGGTTTTCAGAAGAGCGAACCATAGACACGACAAATGCCGTGGTGACTGGGTGCTCCATAGGAACTATAGCGAAAGAGATGACGGAGGGGTCCGTGGAGGTGGCAGCAGTCGGTGATAACGTTCGAGCCGTCAATGTTAACAGTGCTCCAACAGGTACTTACCATTTCCTTTGATTGACTGACTTGTTTCTGAATGGAAACTCTGGAACAGTGAAAGAAGCCGAAGACACGCTTTTCGATCCGATTCGTTGCCATCGGAGCTTCTGTCCTTGGGTGAACGGCCTCGTTTTATCGGCTGCGAATGGCACGTTTGGCCCGGGGCCTGTTTACTGCGGGTGGCAGCTAACTGTGGATGCCTTGGATGCTTTTCACCAGCAGGAGAACGCCTCTGCCGGAGTGACCGAGTCGGAATCTACAGCCTCGATGTGCAAGGTAAAGAAGAATGAAAAGTTTCTACTCGTGAGATTACTTAACTCTGTATGGTTTTGTTTCAGGATGATGGCCGTGGACGAATTTTTGCTCAGGGAAGCTCATCGCAGCCTTGCAACGGGAGTAGCAGGCTGGAGCCCAATTGATGGCTTGAAGTTGTGAATCACACTAAGTGGTAACTCTCTTACCAGTAAAGTTCCATTGGATCATTATCTACTTTTTAGAAGAGCATTGGTGCTGATTGTTCATACATGTAGTTGATTTGTTTTTAACACACTTGATTGAGGAGAGCAACTACTGCATCACAAACAAACATTCTTTTTTATTCTCTCTTTTACTAGCTCAGAGACAGACTAGAGTTTGGCAGTAGCAGTTTCCAAGCGAGCATTGACAGTGTCCCAGTTGACAAGCTCTCTCAGGAACGTCTCCACGTAATCTGGGCGGCGGTTCTGTAATCAAATCATGGTCAGCTTCTTACTTTGATCGGTTGTTGCTAAAGCTAACCTGGAAATCCAGATAGTACGCGTGCTGGAGAAGAAAGAAGATGATAAGAAGCGAAGAAAACGAAGAGAAAGCTTACCTCCCAGACGTCGAGGACGAGCAGTGGCTGCAAGGTCACGGCCATTAGAACTGGACAAGATCGAGAGAGGGAGGGAAAGAGAGCAAACTTACAGTCTCCCCGGACACGAGTGGATTCACCGCGTTGGCTGTTTTCTGGACGATCAGCTTCCCGTCCTTGACTGCAAGCAAGAGGGACGAGATTGTTTGCGTGGAGGAGAGAGAAGATCGAGCTTACGGGAGAGCCAGGCCCATCCGGATCCAAACTGTGTAGTGGCGGCGGTTTTAAACTCCTTGACGAAGTTGTCGTAGGAGCCGAGGTCCCGGTTGATCAAGCCGGAGATATCGCCACTGGGAGCCTTGCCCCCTTTGGCTGTCATGGAGTGGAAGAAGAAGTCGTGGTTCCATGCCTGCCAAAGAGACAATTGTGAGAGATCTCTTCTCGAGACAATGGAGAAAGAACTAAGCTATAGACCTGCGCGGCATTGTTGAAAGATGGCTGGGCGTTTCCACCGCCATAAGTTTTGGTGATGATGTCTTCCAGCTTGAGGCTCTCGAGCTCCGTCCCAGAGATTTGCTTGTTGAGGTTGTCAATGTATGCGCGCTGGTGCTTCCCCCAGTGGAACTCCAGCGTCGTCTTGCTCATGAATGGCTCCAGCGCATTCTAGAACACACAGCCGAGAAAAGAAAGGAGGAAATCCAATCGATCGCAATCGCGCAGCGCGTTACCATCTCGTAGGGGAGCGGCGGGAGCTCGAATTTGGCAACCACGGCAGACATTCTTCCCGACGATCTCGCCCTCCTTCTGCTCCTCACTGCGATCGCTCTCCCTGTGATCGATCCCAGCGATGGCGATGGCGGCGAGCGCGTGTGTGGCACAACCCCTAGGCCTATCGCTGCCTGCGCCATATCTTCCACGAGCAATGTACTACCTATGTACTAGCAAGAAATTTTCTATTTACACGCAGCGTACTTCAAAAATGGTAGTACTACTTCTATCCAACGGCTGCAAATGGACGGCAGCGATGTGCCCTAAATTTAAGCCCTTTCCTTAAAACTGGATAGCATATTCGCATCTCGTGCCTTTTTCTAGGGTTCTTGGTGTGGGCAAAAGGGTAAATTGCTATTTAGGGTTCCGCGATGCCGGGAGGGAACGTCGATGCGACTCTGTATGTGAGTAAGTGAAGCGCTGGGCATTGGAAGATGGTCTCTAAGATTTGCTTTTGTAGGTAATCTGGATGATCGAGTGGACGAGCGAGTGCTGTATGATATAATGGTGCAAGCGGGACCTCTGGTAGAAGTTTACATTCCCAGAGATAAAGAGACTAAACGCCACAGAGGGTATGGATTTGCAGAGTATGAGAGTGAGGAGAGCGCAAGCTACGCGCTCAGGCTTTTCTCTGGGCTCGTCACACTGCACAACCGGCCTGTGAATTTCGCGGTATGGGAAAAGAGGATATTTTTTTGGTTCCTCGATTGATGAATTTCTTGCAGTTCTCTGGGGGTGCGAAGAAAGTACCACAGCAGCAGCAGCAGCAACAATCAAGCTTGTTCGATCCAACACTGGATCAAACACCTCCCAGCAGCAAGTTTGAGAGATTTCTATCGGCTTCTTCGTCGTCAGACAGAGGTGAGTTTCGTGAAATGGTCTTGAGTGTGTCTAATCGTTTTGGTTTCTAGAGTCGTATTATTCAGGCCAGCACCGCTCCTCGCGTTATAGTTCCCGAGTTGCGATGCTTGTCCAAAGAACTAACCACAGGCGCTAGTAACTATAATGATTGTTATGTTAGTACCATTGACTTCCAACACTTAGTCTGCATATCAACCACAACGTAAATACTTCTCACCTCAAAATTACATTGTAAAGGACAATCTTCTTACTCTTGGAAATATTGCCAGTGGAAATACTAAGTCATGAACTTTACAACTTTTGTTGGAGAGAGCAATTGACGAAGTGGTGAATGGTTCCAGAAAGCTTTTGCTCAAACAACGCGTACTTCTTTCTCGAGACTCGTCCACTCTTGATGGCCAAGTTTCAATCTAAGCTTCACGACGAAGGTGAAGAACCTCATACAAGCAATCAAAAGGGACATCTTTCCATTTCCAGATCCGAAAGTTATCATGGAGTTTTCTTCCTCGTTTATCATTCTCAATTCCAGGGCTTGTTTGTGTTCGACACCAACAAGGAGGCGTGGAGCGAATGGCCAATGTGCCACACTCACAACCAGTTGGAGCTCTCTTGCCCCTGTTCTCGCTTGCTCTGCTTCACCAATGGCTCAGGCATCCATGTCCATCACACACAAACAAACCAGCGGGAGGAGCTAGCAAAAATTACTGGTTGTATCAGGAGAGCTACTTCAATATCTGGCACTGCTCCTTGTCCCCGGATAATCAGAGCTTGGAGCAAGTGGTATACAACGAAGCAAAGCGCGAGGTGATTCTTTACGACTCGGGCGATGGAGCTCTAGAGGCTCACAAGAGCAAACTCGATAGCAAGGAGTTGGAGCTCTTGAGCGATGTCTGTCTTGATCGGAACAACAACAAAGCCTACCACCTCTACTGTTGTGGCGAGTTGGCCACTTACGATCTGGAAAGCCACGAGTTGTCCTCCAAGTTGGAGATCCTGGAAGGTTATGTCTCCGATGCTTCTCTCGACTTAAACATATCAGTGGTGGCGTGCAAGAACAACGCATTCATGGTGGGCTATCTGCTAGTGGAATGTGGTAAATACGATCACATTGGTATATGGAAGCTTGACATGGAGGGCAAGAGATGGGAGCTTGTTTCTAAAGTTCCACACTCCGATGGGTACGTAGAAGATGAGGAGGGCAACGGGAGTTATGACGAGGATGTGATAGCGTACCGGATTACTCGTTGCTGCAGCGATGGAGTTGACAAGATCTGGATTAGGTCATGTGGATGTATAGTGTGGATGCCGACACACGGAGAAAGCTTCCAATCTATTCACAGGCTAAAAAGGCTTGACATTGTAATAAATTGCATTTCTTTCCTTTGAGCTCGATAAAGCTGTTTCTACATCTTTCCCGTTGACCAAATATCCTGTTAGTACGAGTAAGTGAAGCGCTGGGCTTTGGAAATGATCTTGTGGTGTTTTTCTTGGAAGTAATCTGGATGATCGAGTGAACGAGCTCAAATGGTGCAAATTTCTGGTAGAAGTTCACATTCCCAGAGACAAAGAGACTAAACGCCACAGAGGGTATGAGAGTATGAGAGTGAGGAGAGCGTGAAGCTTGTGGTATGCCACGTGGCACTTAGGGGGTTTCATTTCTCGATTGTGGTATCCGAGCAACCACAGCAATGCTGCAAAGATGAAGCAGAGAGCCCAAGGAGAATCTCCAATAGGATCAGGATTAGGAGATTGTCTGGGGTGAATGTTTTTCACAAGGTATTTAAACTAGCAATTGGCTTCTTAGTGATTCACTTTTTTCAAGTGGGTGCTGTTTTTATTTGGATATAGACTTGGTTCTCATGGTGTGCAATTTGTAAGAGGGTAAAAAATAAAGTCACAACAATATGGTGTCCATCTGGCAGTTTTCTATGGGTTTAGCATTAAATGTCAATCCCATTGCAATGGATACCCCATGAATGTTAGCTTAATGGGTGGATGATGTCCTTATAATATGAACATTATGTTATACCTTTGTGCATAGATCCCACATAATTTTATGCTTCCTCAAGGGTAATTTTCATCGTACTCAAGATGGCAAATTACCAAAGTTTTTACGAAGTACTCTTCAGATGAATTTAGCTTAAGACAACTAACATCATCATATATTGGTGAAAGAACACATAAAGAGCATCAAGAAACCTTTTGAATCTCCACAAATAATTAACCATTATTGAATAGTATGATTGAAATGAAGGTTTTGATGAACTAAGTCATCTTGAAGAACAGTACACACTACACAACAAATCCTAATACTTAATAAAACAACCTTAAAAGCAAATTCCCGAGTCAAAAAAGCTTGACACCCATTGACATATCAATAAACATCAAGAAACAATGAAATTGACTAGGAATCAAACTTGAACAACTCCAATTGATTCACTAATAAATTAATCTCAAATCTTGAAGCACTTCGACAAGAAGGAACTCGACTCACATCAACCCTTAACCTTGAAGAGCCAACTGAAGAAATCAACTTAAGAACTGAAGATAAACCAAAGAAACTTTACATCGCCAAAAACCTTGATATTGACTTCAAGGCAAAAGAAATTAATCTTTTCGATAGGTACAAAGATGTTTTTGCTTAGTTATATACAGATTTGCAAGGAATTCCTCCCAAGATTTGCATGCACCAAATCAAGCTTTTACCTCAAACTATGCCAAGAAAGAAAGCAACTTGTCAAATGAACCCCAACATGCAAACAAAAGTTAAAGAAGAATTCAATATGTTCGAAAACACTGGCTTCATCTACCCTATTCAAAATCCAAAATAACTATCACCACTAGTCATTATCCCCAAGAAAAAGCAGCAAACTTAGAGTCTATGTCAACTATAAAAAGCTTAACAATGCAACCTAAAATGACACTTTCCTGATTCCATTCTCTAACAAAATTCTCAATGTAATAGTTGGACACAAAATTTACTCATTTCTTGATAGCTTTAGCAGCTACAATCAAGCTTATATTGCATCTGAAGATCAACACAAGATAGCTTTCATTAGTCCTTGGGGTGCTTATACTTATTTATAGATGCCTTTTGGTCTTTCTAACACATTATTTACTTTCCAAAGAATCATTGCTAAGACATTTTGAGATTATCTCACTAACTTTATGCAAGTTTTTATGGATGACTTTAGCATCTTTAGCAGCAAAGAACCAACACCGGTGAGTCTAGAGAGTGCAAATCTTCTCTTCGAGTGCAACCCAACATAGGAGAGGACAAGGGCACTTAACAACTAGCTACACAAGGTCAGCCTCTATGAGTTCTCCCGCATTATGGAGAAAGACTACAAGATCAACATTACCAAGATGATGCTTCTGGCTTTTCAACAAGAGATGGTGTGTGCCAAAGAACATAAATATATCTTCACTACAGGCTATATCACATGGGTATTCAAGCTTCCAATCGGCAGAAAGAAAGTCTCATCTGTGTCACACACAAAAGGGATGCCACCAGGATGCATCAAGATCATCAGGAATTACACCTCCAGAAGCTCACTTCAAATGAGCAATATCACCAACAAGGCAAAGCCAAGGCTTAAGTTCCTCATCTCAACTCCTGAAATATGCAAGTCAAGTAGCTTCGCTAGCAAAGCCATCGCAATCCTCTACAATGACTTGCAACACAAAATCAAAGTGGACATTGCAGGCTACCTCCATAAAAAACTCATTAAGGAAATTCACTTAAGACATTGACATCTCTAAAGGGGAGGGTAGGGGTTATTAGTCAATTAGTCAATAGTCAATGAGGACATTGACATCTCTAAAGGGGGGTGGCTACAAAAAATGATTCACAATGGCCAGAAATGTAAAACTCTCGCACTCCTCTACATCATTACACTTGTGCCAATTCTCGACATAGCATTTCCACTCAGCATGAAAGTACCTTCAACAACACTGCAAGCAAGAATGTGTGTTGAAGAGGAGGGAGGATCTGCTCCACAAATCTGATGAAGAAGACAAAGAGAACAAAGAAGAAGAGGACGAGAAGGAGCTCTCGCCACCAACAACAACTCCACCAGCAAAAAGGAGCAAGATAACAATAGTCTTGCCTCCAAAGAACAAGACAAAATCAACCCTAAGCCAAATCAAAAGTATTCTCTCCAAGGAAGAACTGGAAGAGAAGAGTTAGGTGTAAGGAACCGACTCCCCGAGATGTCGTAGGCTAAAGGATCCCCAAAAGCTTGACCGAAATGACAAAGAGTTTATCGGATGGGACCAAGTCGAGGATCGAGTCCAAGACCGA